GCTGACGAACCAGCCTTCACTGAAGGCCCTAAATCTATGTCATTTTCAGGCTTGTGGAACACTTATCTTTGTATCCTGATTATGCAAATGGAAGTCTCTGCCCACCATCCCAGGTGTATTTTCCTTCTCCCTCACTCTTCTAGTTTCCTATACTGGGGGAAGGAAGCAGAGAAACATATTTTTGTTTCTGTAGTAGGAAGACCCCTACTCAGGCAGGGAAGCCCACCTTGTCATCTGGAGTGACAGAACCCACCGCAACAAAGTTGTTAATAAAGAAGCAACTTTATTGAGAAGCTCCCTACATGGACTGGCCAGGGCCGCAGCACAGGCTTGGGAGCTGATACTGTGACCCCAAGTGACCCCCATTCTTTGGTTTTTAAAGGCAAAATCCATGAGGTCGAGCCTGGTCACGCGCAGGTGATCAATGGGATCGTACCACACAAAAGGATTGTACAGTCATACCAGACCACGCACAGGTGGCCAATAGGCGAAGTTTACTGTAAGCAAGTGCAAAAGGCAGGGTTTACCATAAGCACGTGGTGTTGCCAGTTGGAGCCAGATTACAACCTATCTGTTTTATGGTCAGTCTTTAACTCAATAATCAAGGGTGGGTTAGGCTGTTAAGGGGAGGGGGATCAGATGCATTTTTTTCATTCCCTAAAACAAAGGCAAAGCTCAAAATGGGATCCTACCAGCTGGGGCCCCATCTCAGGGGTCACTTCAGTTTCTTTTGCTTTCTTTTCAAGGTTTTGCTTCATGATCTCTGGTCTTAACCCAAAAAGAAAAACATGATAGTAGTTTAAAAAGAAGAAAAGGAGGAAAAATGGGAAAAGTGCCACAAATGTTGTACTGTTCCGTCTTTCCTAATAAGTATTTTTTTAACTTCTTAAGCACTTAATAATCCAGGCAGTGAATCCTGTATTCAGAATAGAATACACTAGGAAATAGAATCCTCTCCATAAATTATTCTGCCCTTGTGTGATATGATCTGTTGTCATTAATGATTAATTCATGAAGCCCCAAGTCTTCCTATGTTCCCTCCACATATTCCCCTAAAGTCATACCTTCAAGTCATACCTACCTACCCAATGGGGAAAGTCAACACCTAATTACTGATTGATGTAGCAATCAAGTAAACTTTACGCTATGGCATGTTACCAAAACTAAATGCTACAGGAGTTGTTTTTCTTTTTAAGTTTCTATCACCTCAAGCACTTCTTGTATCTTCTACTTTCTTTAAAAAGATATACAAGAATTGTTTAAAGTTGAGTTTAAGCCAGAATATGCTAATCTGGATATCTGTCTGTTTGTCCATCCATCCATTTCTCTTGCTGGTACTATAATTCAACTGCAAAGTTTCCTGTTTGGCAGGCAGATGCTGTACTCCTAAGCCATACCTTCAATCTTCCTCTTCAAATTAAATAAGAAAAAGCTGTGCATCACCAATTAGTGTGATAAGAAGCTTTATTTGATGATCTGAAGGGCCAATCTCACCATCATCAAATGACAAACAAGAGAAGGAGCCACCTGAGCTCTCCAGTTGACACAATGAAGAGAGGGTGCTATGTGGACTCCTCAATAATCAGGAATCTATTTACACATCAGAGATTACTGAAATGCAGCTCTAACCCATAAAGGAGTACTTCATAACAATGAGAACTTTCCAGCCTCACAAGATGCTTCATAGATTGACAAATCTCCACTACTCCATAGTTCCTGTTAGGCTGAATGGCAACCTGGGAGGTAAGTGAAAAGGAGGATTTGACTTGTGGAGCTTCTCAAAACAGCCCTCATCTCAAGATTTGCTTCACCAATTGAAATCAAAGACATTTAAATCATGGCTACGTCTTCCTCAGTTTTAAGAATGAACTACAAAGCTTGGCAAAGTGACTCATGCCGGTAATCCCATCTGCTCAAGAGACAGAGATGGAGAGGATAGCAGCTCAAGGCCAGCCTCAGTAAAGTTAGTGAAACCCCATTTCAAACAAAAAAGTGGGCATGGTGATACACCCCTGACATCTCAGCATAAAATAGAAGGATTGAATCTAAGCTGGCCTTATATTATAATATGCTGTAATGAAATGCCTAATTACAGTAGTATTCCTAAAATGATACCCAGTAGGGTGTAATAGTGTTTGCAAAACATCAGTTTTCCAAGAAGAAAAAAGAAATGAATTCTGACATCACAATGGCCATTTCTATGAGCTGAACCAGCAAAATCTGTCCCTAGGATATGATCCAAGAGTTTCCAGGTTACCTAGGAACTTTATATTTTACTTAATTCCTATCATCAAAGCATCAGTTCTCCACTCAAGGACAGAAACACAATTTTCCTTGATATTAAATGTATGGTCATCAGGTCTCACACTTAAGTTCAAGTACATGTATGGTTTCATTATGGTTTATTGGTGAATTTATACATCTTCTATTTATAGTAGGTGGCAAATACTTAAAAGCCACTTCTCATATACAATTCTGAAAAATAGAAAACAGTTCTGAATAGAGTAGCTACATTTTTAATATGAAGTTTCCAACTGAGCATTATTTTCTCTGTGATATCATCCTTGTCCTCTGAGTGTGTTCAGTGGGTTCCTACTTAGTGTTCTTTGAAGAAAAGATGAGGAGTTGCACTTACACATCTGGAATTACTCTGTCCACAACTCTCACGCCTTTTAGCAGAACATGTTGTTTGGGAGCACATCTCCACTAATCTTGAAATTATTATTAATTTTTTGAGAAACCAGAAATATAACTCTTTCCTTGGAAAGGCACATGCCATGAGAATTTTTTTCTTTCATACTTTTGTTGCAAAAAAAATCCCACTGGGAGTTTTATTACTTAACTCCGTGTGTGTGTGTGTGTGTGTGTGTGTGTGTGTGTGTGTGTGTGGTGTGTGGTGTGTGTGTGTGTGTGTGTGTGTGTGTGTGTGTGTGTGTGTGTATGCTGGTAATCTCTTGCTCTTGGTCAGATTTTCACTCTACCACTCTACCACTTGAGTATACCTCTACTTCTGGGGTTTTCTAGTTAACTGAAGATGAGGTAAGAGTTTCTTGGATTTATCTGCTGGGTTGGCTTCAAACCATGATTTTCAGATCTCAGCCTCCTGAGCAGCTATGATTACAGGTGTGAGCCACTGGTATCCAGCTTATATTCAAAATCTTTAGACTCTAAATGTGGTACTACATATCTGCAAGCATGCATTACACATTTGCAATGGTTCACTGGAGATTTTGAGATGGCAATACTGGGCATCCACAAATACAGTGACATTCTTTGTGAAACCTCTGATGATGTCCAGAGTCTGCTGTCTAACTTTAAGAGATCATGAAAGCAAGGAAAAGATCTTAGAAACCACTCATAAACACATCAAGTTAAAGAAAAAACATAACACAGTATGGTCAGCAATAACCAGGGAGGCTTTTAGAACAGTAAAGGTAGAGAAGGTTCACACATCATCTCTGCAAAACCAAGAAAAAAACTGAAAATGAATAAGCTTGGAAAATTGGAAAAAAAAACTCTCCCTCTCTCTTCTAATCTCTTCCAAAGAGCCCTTCACATAGTATTCTCACAATAAAAAAAAAAATTTAAAAAAAGAAATCTCAAAGACTTTCATGGCCCTCGGGCCAGTTCCTAATAACCAGCATCTGAGATGTCATGGCTTCAGATCCAGTAGCAATGGCTTTGAACTTGACAAGGCTAAAATGAAATCTGCTCATCAAAGGCTCAGCTGATGGAGCAACCCCAGACTACTGTCCCAGTGGCTGTTTGTTACTTCCTCAGAAGGCTAGCAATACAGACCTTAAGTTACATGTACCAGGAAACAGACATGGAGAGACTTCCTGTCAGAAGGAAGCCAGACAGACCTGAAGCAGCTCAGCCATGCTTCCTATTTCTCATACCATGTAGTCAATCTTCACAACCTACTATGTGTTTCAGTGATGAGAAATCATTGTGTTTAATCATACCCAAATAATTCACACTTAATGCTCAGCATTTTCATGCTATGCAATGTGCTAACACCGTTCTTATATGTCTGGGACAAGCAGAAAAGGTCAAAACCTATTGAAGAACGTAAAAAAATAATCATACAGCCATTTTTGCTTCTGTATGAATTGCTTTGTGCTAGATGATTGTATGGTTTTTTGTATGATTTTAACTGTGACTGGTTTTAGTTACTCAGTAGTGGAATGTCAGCCTGGGAGCCTAGAGTTGCTTAGTAAAAGACTTCAAAGGCTTTACATCCTTGACCAAGGGCGCAAAGTCCTCAGAATCATCCCCAAAGCTGCAACGCCCTTCCCGGAGGCTGGGGCAGTAAGGCCCTAGGGAAGAAATATAAGGTTTTAAGAAACCTAAGCAACTCCATTTTTGTTTAACACTCCATCTCAGTTCTGCAACTTGACTTAGCCCCAATGCTAGGAATTTATGACAGAAAGCCATGAATTCTGTTGGTCTGGGTGTGACTCGTAACCATTTTCGGTCAAGCTATGGACCAAGGACATTTTTCTGTGAAGGTCAACCAATCATTATTTGTCCAGTTTAGCTTGCTTTAAATGTAAATGTTAAACAATCATGTAATTTCTTATGTAAAAGTTCCTTTAAGTTGTTTGTTCAATACTATAAAAACTGGGCTGATTCTATGCTCAGGGCCTCTTAGCGTCACCAGTTACCATGTGCGCGGAGGACCAAGCTCGAGCTTGCAATAAACCGGCTCTTTGTTGCTTACATTGATCATAAACCGGCTCTTTGTTGCTTACATTGATCGTGGTCTCTGGTGGTCTTCTGGGGGTCCCTGAATTTCGGTATAACACTATGTATGTATGACCAGATAAGATGATGTTAAGCGAAATGAACCCCAAGATAGGAACACAAGTGGTGTTCTTGCTATTGTTTCCTTTGACTTCTTACCTAGAATCCAGGAAGCAAATGAATTCTGGAGGAAGTCCCTCGATAAGTCTGACACCCAGGTGCCCAGGTGTGCCCCACCCACCAGCCCCACTTACGGGTGACTGGCCGGCTCTGCTCCGGCTGTGTGCTGTCCACAGACTGGGAGCTGGGCACTGAGGAGATGCTGGAGCTGCGGACAAAGCCAAACGCCGCCAGTTTGGCTGCTGGAAGACGTGAGTAGCCAGGAGGACGAAGTCCAGATTTTGGTAGATTGGACTTTGTAACATTGGAACTGGAAGCCTTCTTTATATCTGCTAAAATCAACCAAAAAAAGAAAAAAAGGAGAAGAAGAAGAAGAAATCTCAGTCCATCACAAGGCAGAAAATGTCACATGCTGTGAATTGCAGCTTACCTTCTCATTGACAGATTTAAATTAGTCTTGTAAGGTTCCATTCTCTATGTTTGAGAATAAATCATTAAGAGAAAGGTCCTAGCCAAAGCACAGGTGGCTCATGCCTGTAATCCTAGTTTCTCAAAACTAAAGGGTAGTTCTCAGGCCCCAGGTCCAGCATGTGTGTGTGTGCGTGTGTGTGTGTGTGTGTGTGTGTGTGTGTGTGTGTGAGCATGTGTGTGTGTGTGAGAGACAGACAGACAGACAGAGAAAGAGAGACAGAAAAAGAGAGACAGACAGACAGACAGACAGACAGAACACTCCCTGCCCTAGAGAAGGTCACATCTACTAATTATAATTAGCAGCTGAGAAGAGGATAGATAACCTCACTGTAAGAAAGCATAAAGTGTTTAGGATGTTGACTAGAAAGAGAACACTCAACTGAGGTATGTTCTTTAAATTGTGAGATCAATATAGTTCTTGCATTTTGACATTATAATGAACAAATACCTTTTGCAGCAATTATCCATTGGTAATTTTCACCACCATGGGATAACCACTACAAACAATGTGTTCAAAGAACGCAGAAATGGGATGGGGCAGGCCAGATTTAAAATCTGAGTATTCCCAATTATTGCATAACCCTGAGCCCTTGTCCTAACACTGGGAACTTCCTCGTATAAAGAGGAATGATGTTAAAATTTGCCTCGAGGCTTTTGTGCAATACTGCTTGTACCACAGAACTTGAGAGAGGCTCAAACTGATATTAGTTTTTTCCTGTTTCCATGATCTGCTTCTATGTTAATGCAAACCCCATTAGTAGTTCCCAGATATGTGCAAAGCCAGCTTGTGTTAAGAGTCTGAGTCTGAGCTGAGCCCCATCAATGGCACTGCAATGGTCACCACCCACTATCAAAGGCTCTGAGCACAAGGCCAAATTGTTTCCAATACACAAATGCTCCCTGGTAGGAGAATTTATAAGCTCTAGCTTCCCAGTACTCTGCAATAATTGTTCTCCTTCACTAGATAATAATTTTTGTTTTGCTGTATATAGAACATTCAGCGACATTCTTATTCTGTAGTTAGTCCTCTCAACATTTGAACAAAAGATCAACTAAGCTTCACATTAAATGCAGTTTAAAGAGTGGCTCACTTGTTTAAATATCAGTGTCTAAAAATCAGTGAAGAAATTATATATGAATAAGAAAGCATCAGTGTATGGAAATATGCAGAGAACCAGAATCAGCCATGCCATGTTTTTTTTGGCAAAGTGACTCTTCTTTTCACTCCTAAGTTAGTGAGGCCATGAAACATGTGTATTCCAAGTGAAGGCAGAATCTACGCAGCTATGGTTTCCTAACTAACTCCTGGGGAGGGATGGAGTCAGAAGTACAGGAGGAAAGAGTCTCAGAGTTAGGTCTATCAAAGTCCCCAACTCGGGTCTCTCCTAATGCTTGGAGAATATGTTCAATGACAAAAGAGACAAAACAACACACTATTTAATGGTCCCTTGTATATAAAATTAATGCCATGCTTAATGCCTTCCAACTGCTCTCAGATCATTTTATAGTCTAAATACTGAAACCACTCTTAATCTATCCTGCAAAAGAACTGCAGGATAAATTAGTTACCAGTCAGATGTAATTTCAACATCAAGTATACCCTAAACCCATGCTGACTTTTAGGCTGAGTATCCTTTATCCAAAATGCTTGGGAGCAGAGTGTTTCGGATTTTGTGCTTTTTCAGATTCTGTTATATTTATATAGGAATTACCTGTGGAACACATCTACTCTGAAAATCTAAAATCCAAAATGCTCCAAAATCTGAAACTTTCTGAGGGTCATGCCACTGCTCAAAAGTTTTCATTTTGAGGCATTTTGGACTTGAGCTTTTGAATTAAGCATATTAGGTTTAACTTCCTTCCTAAAATAGGATGATTTTATGTAATATAAATAAATTATTAATAAATAAAAACAATAATTGATAAATAAAAACAGTTAATGATAAAATTAGGAAAATATGAATTAAGAGAATATGACCAAAAATGGGTTTAGTCTAAAAAATGTACCATATATGAGAAAGAAGGAAAAGTCAGAATTAATAAAAAGCCAAGCATCTTTGCTTATGATAAATCCACTTAATAATTATTACAGAATAAAAACTAAGTGTAAATGGTAAACCATTATATAAAAGACTATATCCATTGATGCATTCAAATAAAAATTTATTATATGTTTTCCTTACCTGAGTTTAATTATTGCTAATTCCATCATTGAGAGGGTAGCTAAGGAGCACATAGAGAGGGGAGAAATGGACAACACGAGATTCTAAGTACACAGGAAATATCTGTAATTTTTATTTTCCAATTTTTGCCAGTACCGTGGCTTGTATTCAGAGCCTCAAACTGTGGCTTGGCTTGCTGGCTCATGGCTGGTACTCTACCACTTGAGACATGCCTCCAGACCAGCTTTTTGGTTATTTTGGAGATGGTATCTTACAGATTTTTCTGCCCAGGCTTCAAACTATAATTCCCAGGCCTCAGCTTCCTAAAATGCTAGGATTACAGGCAGAGCCACCAGCATCTGGCTTATAAATTTTTTTTTTCAGTTTTCTCTTTCCCCTAGTCCAGTGCTTCCTTTACCTAAAGGCATATTGCAGTCCTTTAAATCTGCACCTGTAGATTTAACTAACCACAGATCAAAAACTATTTGGGAAGAAACAGTATCTGTATTGAGCATGTACAATTTTTTCTTGCTATTGCAGTACTGCTTAAAATACAGTATAAAAACCATTTATATAATATTGATTTTGTATTGACTATTATAGCTCCAAGTATGTGAGAAACTGTAAATCTGCATATGTAAGGAGTGTGTGTGTGTGTGTGTGTGTGTGTGTGTGTGTGTGTGTGTGTGTGTGTGTGTTCAGGCTACAAGTAGGAGTATGTCTTGTCCCAACTCTGTGTGTACAATATTATTTTGCAATTTTAATGAACTCTATCCTGTACACCAAGTTACCATACATATGGTCATACCATACATATGGTCATTCTTTCTACCACATTAATCCCATGAACGGTATACATGCCTTCAGAATTTAGAGAGCAAACCATATTCTTTGTATGCTGCTTGTATCTATAACCACTCTAAATTTCTCTATTTTTCAATAAGTTTAGTTGAAGTCTACATTAACCAAGCTTTTACCGCACCAATTTAGCCCCCTACCATGAGTCAAATACCTTCACTAGTCTCTCTGCAGGACAGCGCCTCTGGAGAGAAATTCACAAGTCTGCCTTTTAAACAAGTGCCTCAGTGATTCTGGCTCAAGTAGTCCCTGGGCCACTCTTGGAAAACTATAGCAGAAGCTGCTGACTCACTCTGGGAAATAAATGTATTCAGCAGCTCTGAGTTAATGTGCCTTAATTTAATCTGAGATTCTCATAAAAGATCTTTATTGGCAAAGATGTGGAGATCGTAAAGCCTGGTACTACAGACTGAATCTTGTTGTCCCCACCAATTTTCACAAGTTGAAATCCTACCCCTGACGTATGATAGTATTTGGAGGCAGTGTCCCTGGCAGGTGATTATGTCTTCAGAGTGGAGCCCTCTTGAGAGACTTGACACTCCCACAGTAGCCATCCTGTGTGATGAGTCACACTACCTGCACTGAATCCTGAAAATCTTCCGTTGTAGTTTGAGCTGATTTAAGTTGGGAGCATGGACAAACCAATTCACTTTTAGGAATAACAATATGGGATTGGAGTAGAATCCTCCTAATGTTGGTCCTGGGTATGTCTCAGCCTGGACCTACCTGTATGTCTAAGAATGAAGTCAGGTCTGATGCCAGTGATAGTCGGGCTCCAGGTTATGGACTGCTCAGAGAAACAACTGAATACTGTGTAAGATAAAGATCCAATGGAGAGGAGCAAAAACAGATACAAGTGAAAAGAGCCATAAGGCAGACTGCTGAGGTGTGCATCCCTGCAAGCAGATGGATCTGCATGACCCTTGTGTCCCTAAATTGAAGCTGATACCTCCTTATGTCTCTATTGCTGCAAAAATCCTGAAGGACATTGGGTTCCAGTGGTTCATGCCTGTAATCTTAGCTACTTAGGAGGCTGAGATCTGAGGATCATGGTTCAAAGCCAGCCCACACAGGGAAGTCTGTGAGACACATATCTCCTATTAACTACACAGAAAGCTGCAAGTGAAGCTGTGGCACAAGTGGTAAAGTGCTAGCATTGAGCAAAACTGCTCAGAGACTGTGCCCAGGCCATAAGTTCAAGCCATAGGACTCTCTCTCTCTCTTTCACTCTCTTTCTCTCTCTCTCTCTCTCTCTCTCTCTCTCTCTCTCTCACACACACACACACACACACACATATGCATGCACACACAAATCCTGAGGAAGATGGACACAAACTCCAATGGCACTCATGATACAATGAAGGCACTAAATGGATCTGGCTTAACCCCAATATCCTTAAAACCTATAATATAGCCATAGCAAGAGCAGCCCCCAGACCCTATAGTACAAACCTGTATACAAAAACTTAAGAGGGTCCTCTCTGAAGAGGAAATACGAACAGCCAAAAGGCACATGAAGAATTTCTCAACATCTCTGGCTATAAAATAAATGCAAATCAAAACATCATTGAGATTCCACCTTATACCAGTGAGAATGTCCATAATCAAGAAATCTAACAACAGATGCTGGAGGGGATGTGACCAAAGGAGAAGCTACTACACTGTTGGTGGGAGTGTGAACTTCTTCAACCACTCTGGAAAGCAGTGTGGAGGTTCCTCAAAAGACAATACATAGAGCTCCCCTATGACCCAGCAATCCCACTTCTGGGAATCTACCCAACTGACCACAAACAAGGCCACACAAAAGCCACCAGTATGACGATGTTCACTGCAACATTATT